GCTAGGAGGAGTAAGAGTTATAAGAAATACCTGTATAGCTCAGTAATGGAACACCTTGGTGAAAAGGGCATGGAGAGGAATTTAGCTCTCCTAATAAGCATGAGAGCCTGTGAGATGAGAGCACTGGTGAATTGGCAGTGGTGTTGAGAGGCACAAGATCTGCCTTATATTAGGCTGGAAAAGAAGGCAGTCGGGAGCATGCACATTCTATCACAGGCCGTCCTCTCCTACCTGCAGAACACCAGCACAATGCCAGCATGGTCTCTCTGCTGAAGATTACCAAGCAGATCCTACCAGTCTTACCAAGATCCTAAGACTAAGATCTATCTGTTCTAAGACTGCTTTACTCTCTCTAAGTCTCTCTCTCTCTCTCTCTCTCTCTTTCTCTAAAGTAAAACCCTCAGGCACCTAAGAGCAATTGTTCCTGAGCAAGATAACAGCATCCAGAACCTAGTTAAGCTGGGCCGGAGTCCTGGCCAGTCCCAGGCCCTGACAGTGAAGAAAAAATTATTTCATTTTTCATCCAATCAATATGAGATATGTGTAGAACTTTCGAATGGAGATTTCAATAGGCAGTGTCATAATAAACCTACAATTCAGGTGATTCATTTGAGTTGGAGGTGCTTGTTTAACTGTCAGTTTACAATCACCATGGGGGAGCTCAGCACCTGTGGCTCAAGTGGCTAAGGCGTCAGCCACATACACCTAAGGTGGCAGGTTCGAATCCAGCCTGGGCCCGCCAAACAACAATGACGGCTGCAACCAAAAAATAGCCAGGCATTGTGGTGGGTGCCTGTGGTCCCAGCTACTTGGGAGGCAGAGGCAGGAGACTCGCTTGAGCCCAGGAGTTGGAGGTTTCTGTGAGCTGTGATGCCACTGCACTCTACCCAGGGGGACAGCTTGAGGCTCTGTATCTAAAATAAAATAAAATAAAATCACCATGGGGAAATCCTTTTGTACTATGTTTTCATTTAGGGGAGGTATCCTTGAAAAATGTTCTTGTGTCAGTGAAATGGGAACATGGAAACCACACAAGTTATTTAAACATATAGAATTTAATGTGGTGAATTGTTACATAGTTACTGAAAATACAGAAGTCAAACAGTTGCAAGACGCAGCCACTAGTTCAGGGCTACAGAAACAAAAAGATTACATAAAACCTACCAGAATTTAGAATTCTTATTGGTTAGAAGGGGGTGCTACTCGGTGGGCAGGGTGCCAGGTCTCTGAGGACACAGCTCTGTCCTGAGAGTTATGCTGTCTCTGATGGAATTCTGATGTGGCAGGCTCTGGAGAAAGTGAACAAAACCTGAACACTGAAAACAATTGCTGCTGCCTGGAATTTGCTGGAGTTTTTAACAGGACTAGAAAATCAAGTGAAACGATTCACCTGTCTCTGCAAGTTCCCATTTAATCTCTCTTCCCAATAACATAAGCTAAAGAGATGTAATTTGCAATGAATAAACGTAGTTATCCCAGTCCCTGTCCCGGGGTCACAGAGCCAATAGAAGGGTGAGTTTATAGAAAAAAAATAGCTTAAAAGCAAAAACAGAGCTCACGACATTCTGTCTTTATATCTCTCCTTCTTTGCGTTTGCAACAATATGCAATTATGTTGTTTGTAATAATATAAATAATGTACAGTTATATAATTATTTTGTGGAGAAAAATAGAGATAGGCAGACACTTGTTGGCAGATTGCAAACACCCACACAGCAAGGAGCTTGTGTACTTTATCATGTGCCCCCAGTATACAGTGTCAATACTTATCCATAAAAAGTGCCTGTTATTTGCTAAAGGAATGTATATATAGCTCACACCTGTAAGCCTAACAGTCTGGGAGGCCGAGGCAGATGGATTGCCTGAACTCAGAAGTTTAAGACCAGTCTGAGCAAGAGCGAGACCCTGTCTCTAAAAAATAGCCAGGCATTGTGGCGGGAGCTTATAGTCCCAGCTACTTGGGAGGCTGAGGCAAGAGAATCACTTTGAGCCCAAGAGTCTGAGGTTGCTGTGAGCTGTGATGCCTCAGCACTCTACTAAGGGGGACAAAGTCAGACTCTACCTCAAATAAAGAAATAAATAAATAAGATACGTGGATCAAAACATCAAAAAACATTTTGTTTTTTTTTGTTTTTGTCTTTTCTTTTGCTTATGAGGGTGATAATATTTGGCAAAAATAATCAAGTGCAAAAATATTACTTGTGCCAAATATTATCACCCTCATAAGCAATAATAACAGAATTTATCATATCCTTCAATTTAGTCAATTTAGTTAGCCTATCTAACTCTCAGAGCTATTCAAGTTAAACAGTTATGAATTGTAGGAAAATAATACATGTAACTAAACATCTTTTTAAATAAAAATTTAATAGTAACAAAAGGTATGTCGAAGATAGGAATGGAGTTCCTTGTAACTCTTATATTAGGCTGCCTCCGTATTAGTCTATAGACAGAAATAAGGCTAGCTAGGCTAGCTAGAATGAGAAGCAATTCACACATTACCATAAAACTCTACCTCTCATTTATATTATTTCAATAAGAAAGTCCAAGAGAACAAATTTGAAGCAGCTGGCTAGCAGTCATCAAACAAAAACCCCATAATCTATTTCATTAATATCCTGCAGAACCGATTCTCATATTATTCTGAATTCAGGATGAGAATACGGGGGCAGGCTGCTTCTTTCACTAGACTCACAGGATTCAGGAATAAAATATGTGGTAATTAAGGACATAAAGTCTATATTTTAATTTGATAATTTCAATTTCTACTTTGGATAGAAAAATGTATATTTCTGAACTTGGAATATTAGATGAACATATAAAATTCTTAAGTATAAAGCAAAGCCAATGCTAAAGATACATTTTAAGGTTTTAATTTCCATCATTCTATTCCAGCCAAAAATATATGCCAGAAAGGAAATTATTTAAATTCAATTTACATTAAATATTTTTATTTTATATATATACATATATATTCTTTTTTTTTTTTCCTTTGAGACAGAGTCTCAAGCTGTCACCCTGGGTAAAGTGCTATGGCATCACAGCTCACAGCAACTTCCAACTATTGGGCTTAAGTGATCTTCTTGCTTCAGTTTTTCTATTTTTAGTAGAGACAGGGTCTTGCTTTTTCCTCAGGCTAGTCTTGAACTTGTGAGCTCAAGCAATCCACCCACCCCGGCCTCCCGAGTGCTAGGATTACAGACGTGAGCCACTGCACCTGGTCTTATATTTTTTATTATACAATAAATGAGGCAATACAGAATTTTATTCGTTGAATTCTCACTCTAACTCACATCATTTTTTTCATGCCTTCTCCACTATTTTTTAGGTGACAGGTATTTGGTTAAACCGAAGGACAAAAAGGCAGTGAAGAACTCTGTTGACACAAAAATGAAGTTATGTTATAAAAATTTCTGAGCCCACAAAGACACGTATATTCACAAATGGTGAGAAAAGCATAGAAGTTAGAGACAGGATGGAAAAATCAGATTTTTAGGAGATTCAGACTTGAGTAGCCTGATTAGAGATTCTATAGGCAAAGTGAAATTTTAGAAATGATACTGCTACCGAAATATCGGCATCCATCCTCAAGGCTGCATCAGAAGAGTGAGAACAGTGGCTGAAGAAGGAAAGAGAGGTTTATTACTTTGCTAGCAAAGGAAGAAAAGGGTAGACTATTCTCTCAAAGTCCAGATTCCTGTCTACAAGGGGAAATGCAAAGCTTCGAGGCTATTGTTCAACTACAGTTAATGCTTTTTAATCATCTCGTCTCACTCAAAGATAAAGCCGTGAACTCTGCCCACCTAGACCTCCTCGGCTGTCCAGGCACCCAGCCTCCTGCTCCATCTCCTACCCTCTGGTCTACTGGCCTGAGGCGGGGATGCAGGTCTCAATTCTCAAAAAGAATGATACAATATTTTTTTTAATATTGTTTTTTTTCATTTTTTATTTTTATGTATGTATTTATTTATTTATTTTGAGACAGAGTCTCAAGCTGTCCCCCTGAGTAGAGTGCTGTGGCATCACAGCTCACAGCAACCTCCAACTCCTGGGTTCAAGTGAGTCTCCTGCCTCCGCCTCCCAAGTAGTTGGGACCACAGGTTCCTGCCACAACGCCTGGCTATTATTTTGGTTGCAGCTGTCATTGTTGTTTGGCGGGTCAGGGCTGGATTCGAACCCACCACCTTAGGTGTATGTGGCTGGCACCTTAGCCCCTTGAGCCACAGGCACCGAGCCAAAAAGAGTGGTATAAGTTTTAAAGGGAAAGAAAACTCTTTCAGTCCATTCCCTTGATTACACTGTGGTCCCTGAATACTTACGATTATCTAATAATATATATATTTTTGTCTGTCACGTTTTATTTAAAAAGAAAATAATAACTCTATACCAATGGAAATCAACCAAAATGAGAACATTGGAATGACTGATAATCACAGAATAGAAAAGCAAGTATCCGATGTGCTCAGTACTAACATGAAACTAGTAGATGAACAAATACATGACCACACAAGAGAAAAACTGGATTAAACTCAAGTTTGTGTGATAGGGGATGAGGGAGAGAGATTGGTAAACTCTCAACTCATGGGCACAATGTAAGGGTCTGTGGCAGACCTCCTGGGTGAGGAGCTTGACTACAACTTGGATTTTACCCAACAAATGCAAACAATGTAACCTAAATTTTTGTGTGTGACACACCTTTTGGGGGTAAGACACAATTATAAGAGGGACTTTACCTAACAAATGCATCCAGTGTGGCATGGTTTCTTGTACCCTCAATGAATCTCTAATAATATTTTTCAATTAATGAACTATCCCTTCTTGCCTTTCCCGACACTGCAGGGCATAATTATGAGATCCAGCTAATTTCAGCTCTTCTCTTTTTGAATCACATTTCCAGTTCTTACTACACAAATGTCCTGTTAATAATTCTGGCTTGGTCTGAGTTTGGTTCTGGGTTGTTAGGACAAGAATTATGAGCCCACACTTGGGTCTCAGTGTGAGTCAGGGGTGAATCATGAAGCCATGAATTTAATAACCTGTCATTCAAACTAAGAAGATACGGGTTCAATGTTCTTGAAGAGAATTCTCTTCTTAAGAAGGCAAAGATTAAACTGAGCTGTTTTAGGAGCCATACTAAAAGTTGGTATCTTCACACTTGATCTTAGCCAAAAGGCTGAGAAGTGATAGAAGTTGGTATCTTTACAAAATTTTGTCCTATATTACTTATAAGTATGATCATCTGAGAGTAGATTTTGTACCAGGCCCTGTGCTCCTCCCTAGCCATAAAAAAGTAAATAAATAGTTGATATTTTCCCTTCAGGAACTCTCAGTCCAGGGAATAACATGGATGTATAAATGTTAACACTTTCCAAAAATAATAATAGTTAAGGGTGGACTTTTGA